TTGTAGAGAAGTGCCTTGCTCAGCCATCATCAGAGAAGCTTCCTGCTGCAGCATAAGGGAACAAATGTCCAGAACCACAACCATATATTAATCAAAGAGTGAGAACCTAAGGTGTTTTTTTGAGACAAGGTGTCCCTGCATCCCTGGCTAGCTTGAAACTCAGAGATCTGCGCCTTTGGAACATTCAATCCTAAATGGGTTGTCTCTACCAAATCCCTCTCCTCAGAGCCCAGGGAATACCATAGAAGAGGTGTCAAGATGAATATAATAGCCCGTCAACATGAGAATACCCACAATACGAAGAATTCAGGGCCCACCAAATGTACATGATGAACTATCACATGAACTCACAGAGACGGAGGAAGCATGCATAAGGCGGGCACACGTCTCTAGCAGGTCCTCTGTGTGTATATTGCAACTCCAGTTCAGTGTATTTATGGGATCCCTGAGTGTGCAAATGAGCGGGGTCTCTGATTCTTGTATCTTCCCTTGCAATTTTTTCTTCTGTTAATTTGTCTTCACTAATTTTGATTCATTAGTTATTTATGTTAATGCATTTTATTTTGTTCCTTTAAAAAAATAATGAGTAATTGGTTTTAGTATTGTTTTATTTTGTTTTCTTGGTTTTGCGTAAATTTTCCTTTTGTATTAGGCTTTTTTTTTAATTGGGCTTTTGATAGTTTTTGGAACTTAAAGTTCACAGGGTGGAGTATTCAGGAGGCCTTTGGGAAGGGAAGAATATGATCAAAATATATTCAAATTTAAAAATTGTTTAATAAAAGAAAATAAGAAAAAATTGGGCATTGACTTCAAATGTGGGATTAATAATGGAATTCATTAATTAAAATTTTCAAAGCATACATTATAGTACCAATGAGTAGAAAGAAGCTTTACTCTGAAATATTAAACCCAGTCACAGTGAGTAAAATAATGCAGAAGAAATATATTATAAACACTGTGATTTTTCTTCTTTAATGTACTATGTTAGTGTGAAAGGAAAAATAATTTTCCACAGTCCCATAAGCTGGTGAACACACTTCCAGTAAATAAACCACAGTGAAAGTTGCTATTTGGACACTGTGCTTCCTGATTGGGTGCTCTGGACACTGATTTGCA